ACTGGGGCGCCTTAGCTCCGTTGGTGGGCCCAGTTTCCTGGAATGACCACCGTGTAGGGCATGTTTGCCTGATGTGGTGTATGGCCTGGGGCCATCTAGGTCTATACCGTACTGGTCGGGCCAACGAATCAAGAGAGCCTGGGCACCGTGACCCAGGCACTGCGGCTCCAGCGTGGAAAGACATATTGGCACCTTCTGAGTCCGCGTAACACCATGGCATCATACATGTTCTGACATACTATGATATTCTCAGTTCATGTTTTTTTTCGGTGTGGGTGTTGATGCTTGTCTGCAATTTTGCAGCCTATGGCGGCATCTCTCTGCCAGTGACGGCACTGATGATTTTTCTACGGTGCGGAGAGGATGGGGCGCAAACGAGTTGGAGCGGGGAAGTCGGGGACGGACATGTCTGATAAATGGGGCTGGGGAATGCGTGGAGAACGGGGGGGACGGAATGCCGAAGAAGAGGTGAAGGGTGGGGCGAGCAGTTGTAGAGCGTGCGCCGCAGCCGAGCTAGCAGTTGACAGGCAGATCGAATATAGCGTTTGCCAATCTAGGTTCCGCAGACTAAGCGAGATAGAAGCCCTTGGGACAAGGTGTTTCAGGAGGGGGGGGTGGAACGGGAGGGTGGGATGGACACTTCGCGCGGATTGCACAGCACAGGCCAGCATGGGTTTGCCACGGGGTCCATCGCGCGCCCTCCAAAACCCCAGCTGGGCCCAAGGGGCCAGAAGGGGTTAGGAGGGCGAGGCACCACCCATGCCTGCGCCAACGTGTGCTTTCCACCAGGCCTTGCCGTCCCAGCGTGGGTCCTCGGAGCCAACCTCGCGCAGCGCGGCCGAGGAAGGGAGGAAGGCAAGGGGTGCAGGGCGCCCCTGCCTGCAGCTGCTCAGCCTTCGGGCGGGCCCCACGCCCTTCCCTGCGAGCGCGGCTTTCGACACGCTGAGCTGTTTCGTGCTGGAATCGTCCAGCACCACCGTGAGCTTGCCGAACAACGGTGATAGCATCTCGTGGACATCATCAAGGGTCATTCTGTATCGTTTCTGGACCTGGCCCGTGGCCCGTGGCACGTTGAAGCTGCGTGAGCAACCGATGCACCGTAGGCCTTGTCTCGGCTTGCGAACTTGTCAAGTAGTGCTGGAATAGCGTCAGGTGCTCCACCGTCTTGTCGTTGAGCCTGTACGCCACGGCTTCCTCCAGCTGAGACTCCATCGCAGCAGCATCCCCCTGTGCCAACTTTCTCTTCATAGCTTTATGGCAATTGGCCCGTGTCGTGCTGGAGCTTCGAGAGCACCCCTTTCCCCCCGCCGGTGACCTTGTCAAGGTGGGCGAAAAAGGCGACATCGATCTGGAGCCTGGCCATGTCCCTCGTTGGCCTCAGCAGGGTCTTTGAGCTTGACAAGCTCCACTGTGCACGCCTTCTCCATCTCAAGCTGGGTGAGGGGGACAAAAAGCAATTTTGAGATACATGAAAGGATGAGCGATTCTGCGATGCTCCCTCTCGCCCCAGTTTCTTTCTTCGGAGGTCCTCAAATGAGTTCCTGCTCATTGCGGTGAGTGCCCTCTCGGAAGGCCAGCGCCCCATAGGCTTGTAATTCGGGCGAACCGCACCGAAAAAGGAAACGCCTGCATGCTTTGAGCTATGCGGAGCGCGAAGAGATACGATCAGGTCTGCCAGCGTGGGCCCCGAACATTGGGTTCTCGCACTCTCGCGATGCGCTCTTCACATGGTGCAGTAATCCACCGCTGGGGGTGTATCATATTATATATATGCGCGTTGTCATTGGCAGAATCGTGTCCGCCGTCATCACCAAAAGCATATCGTACCCTCACGATATTCACCGCTCTAGGAACCAAGCGCCATCATCTCATCATCACCATCATCCGCATCACCGCCAGCATTATCACCATCATTGTCATCAACCTCATCGCCGTCATCTTCATTGTTTGAACACCAGTCTCGAACGGTAGCTCCTTGTCCAGTGCCCCGTGCCTCACCTTGGCTGGCCCGCTGCGCTGTCTCGGCTCAGGGCCCGATCGGTGCGCCCTGCCCGCCTTACACTCGCCGTGAACACTTCGTCTTGGACCATCGTGCGCTGTGCTTCCTTCCGAGGCGGGAATTCATCCATATCCACCGCCTGGAGGGTCAGTTTTCGGAGCCTCGGCAGGCGGTGGATGTGGACATATACGGGCCCCCGGGGGCCGAAATATATCCATATCCACCGCCCGTTGGGGCACCAGGGCGTCGGTTCCCGGGCGGTGGATCTGGATGAATCCCCGCCTCGCATTCCTTCGCAGAAAGCGTCGTGTCCTCGCTTGCATCCTCATTTCCAGTCTCCTCGTCCTCTGCAGAAGGCGTCGTTTCCTCGCTTGCATCCTCGTTTCCAGTCTTCTCTTCCTCCTCCTCCTCGTGGTCCGCCGCCCGCCGAGGCGGTGGAGGCGCGAGCCGAAGCCCGCGGGCCAGGAGCACGCCCCCGAGCAGAAGGCCCTGCGCTGCAAGGCGTCGTGCCCGCGCCGCGCGGCTCGTGGCTCGGGGAGGGCCCCATCTGTCGTGGCTTTGGTTCGGATTTTTTGGGCGTGTCTCTCTGGCTGCTGCCTTCGTGTGCCGAGTCTTGATGTGGACGTATGTGGTCTGCAAACGGGGTCGAATCTCTCTCTCTCTCTCTCTCTTTCTCTCTTTCTCTTTCTCCCACTGTGTCGTTTTTTTTTTTTTTTTTTTTTTTTTTTTTTTTTTTTTTTTTTTTTTTTTTTTTTTTTTTTTTTTTTTTTTTTTTTTTTTTTTTTTTTTTTTTTTGTTTTGTTTTTTTTTTTTTTTTTGTTTTTTTTGTTTTGTTGTTTTCTCTCTCTCTCTCTCTATATATATATATATACAAGTGGCACGTGTGTGCCCAGGCTCATACAACAAGCTGAAGGGGCGTTTGAAGCAGGAGTGACATGCAACAGCGAAGTCGCACTCGAGCGCAAGTGGGGTTGCCACACCTTGCGATGTGTGTACCAGGGCCCCCCAGGAAGCCTCAGGAGGCCCGACTTGGATACCAGAAGAGGCTCCAGGAGGCCCCAGGATTGTGAGTGTTGTGTGTGTGTGTGATGTGTGCTTTGTGTGGTGCGTGCTTTTTGCGTGTTGTCGGTGTTGTGTGTGTGTGTGTGTGTGTGTGTGTGTGTGTGTGTATGTTATGTTTGTCTAGCGTGTGATGTGTTGGGCGTGATTTGTGTCTCTGTGTGTGCATGTAGTTCTGAAGCCCCAGGAGGCCCCAGGAGGCCCCAGGAGGCCCCAGGCGGCCTCAGCAGGCCCAGGAGAACTCCAGGAGGCTCCGAGGCGGGGTCTGGGGTACCAGAAGGTCCAGAAAGCCCCAGGAGGCCCCAGGAGGTTCCAGGAGGCCCCCAGGAGGCTCCGAGGAGGGGTCTGGGGCTCGATTTTGGGAGGATGTCTCAGGCGAAACCGCCATTCTCTGAGAATCGGAGTCAAAATCATTGAAATTACCATGTGTTTTTGAAGGTTTTATGATAAAATGTTGGAAATCCTATGTGTTTTTGGACCCTGACGTCACGATCTGCGTGAGGGGTGCCACCGATTTTCAGAATTTCGAGGATGTCCCGAGCGAAACGGCCAGAAAATTCGCGAACGACGGACGCATTAATCGCCTCTGAGTTCTACTCCCTCGGAGAGGTGCGTATGAGAATATATATGTATATACACACAGGTTTGTCATACTCTGTCTCTCTCTCTCTCTCTCTCTCTCTCTCTCTCTTACACAAAGATCTAGATACATGTGCACGTGCATCTTAATATTTATATACACACATGCATACGTGTGTGTATCTATACACATATAGGCCTACACATACATATACATACATATTTACATTTAGACATACATACGTACATGCTTACATACATATAACAGGGGACTGGGCTCAGGGGCCCAGGGGCCACGACCTCTACGTCGAGCGGGGGCCAGGGGGCCAGGCCTGCATTTGTGGGTCCCGAAGGCGTTCCAGAGAGCGGTCCGACCGGCGTCACGGCGCCCCAAAACAGTCGCGAACCACCCTCAAGACGGCCTCCAGGGCTGTCCGACTTTTCACGAGGCGCTTCGAGTGGCCCCCGAGGCGTCCACGACGCTTGAGAGGGCCCCGACAAGCAAATATTGCCCCATTTCTTGTCTGAACCGTGCATTTTTGCCTATTCGTTTTTGTTGGTCTTCGAACCGCCCGACCACCAAGATCGCCTCAAGACGGCCCACGACGGCGGCATATTCTCCCAGGACGGTTCAAGAGGCGCCCAAGACGGCGCAAACGGCCCCCCAAAAGCTCCAATATGAACCCATTATGGGGATATCCAATTGAAATTCTAGACGCCACCAGCCCATCCAGAAACGATGCTCAGAGGAATTGCCTTGGTGGTCCCGGACGCCTCTTAGAGCGTCTTGGGTGCCTCGGAGAGCTTGGGGCCTCTTGGGGGTCTCTTGGGAGCCTCTTGGAGGCCTCTTCGGTGCCTGTTGGGGCCTTCTGGGGCCTCCTGGGCGCCTCTTGGGGCCCTCCTGAAGCGCTCTTGGGAGCCTTGGGAGCGCTCTTGGAGCCCTCCAGGCCCAACTTGGAGCCATCTTGAGGCCTCGGATGGCCATCGGAAGCGAAAAGGTGAGAAAGCAAAAAACATTGACTTCCCTAAGGTTTTGGAAGGATTTTGGCCTCTTCGAGGCCTCCTGGGGGAGCTCCGAAGGTCCATGTGATACCGCCCAGTACAGCGCTGCGTGGCCCCATAGGGAGCTCCACGGAAGGTCCCAGTGCTACCCCCCGCATGCGCCCCCCCTCACTCAGTACAGCGTTTCGTGGCCCCACGGAGCTCCACCGACGGCCCCAGTGCTACCGCCCGCATGCGTCCCCCTCACCCAGTACAGCGCTTCGTGGTCCCATAAGGAGCTCCACCGAGGGCTTCAGTGTTACCGCCCGCATGCGTCCACCCCACCGGTACAGCGTTTCGTGGCCCCACAGGGAGCTCCACCGACGGCCCCAGTGCTACCGCCCGCATGCGCCCCCCCGCACCCAGTACGGCGTTTCGTGGCCCCATCGGGAGCTCCACCGAAGGCCCCAGTGTTACCGCCCGCATGCGCCCCCCCACCCAGTACAGCGTTTCGTGTCCGCAGGGAGCTCCACCGAAGGCCACCGTGTTACCGCCCGCATGCGTCCACCCCACCGGTACAGCGTTTCGTGGCCCCACAGGGAGCTCCACCGACGGTCCCAGTGTTACCGCCCGCATGCGTCCCCCCACCCAGTACAGCGTTTCGTGTCCGCATAGGGAGCTCCACGGAAGGCCCCCGTGTTACCGTCCGCATGCGTCCTCCCAAATCCAGTTCGGCGTTCCGTGGCCCCGTCGGGAGCTTCGTCGAAGGTCCCAGCTTTACCGCCCGCGTGCGTCACCCCAACCAGTACAGCGCTATATGTCCGCCCAGGGAGCTTCACCGAGGGTCTCAGTGGCACTGTCCACAGGCATCACCCTCACCCAGTACAGGGCTTCGTGGCCCCATAGGGAGCTCCACCGACGTTCCCAGTGTTACCGCCCGCATGCGTCCCCCCAACCAGTACAGCGCTTCGTGGCCCCATAGGGAGCTCCATCGAAGGCCCCCAATGGCACAGTCCACATGCGTCTCCCCCACCCAGTACAGCGTTCCGTGGCCCCATGGGGAGCTTCACTGAGGGCCTCAGTGGTGAAGTCCACACGCGTTTCCCCTACCTAGTACAACGTCTCGTTGTCACATAGGGAGCTCCACCGAAGGCCTGAGTGGCAAATTTCTTCCCCACCCAGTACAGCGTTTCGTGGCTCATAGGGAGCTCCACCGAGGGCCCCCGTGGTCCCCCCCACCCAGTACAGCGTTTCGTGGTCCATAGGGAGCTCACCGAAGACAATACCGACAACTGCGGGACTCACAGCTGCAGATGATTAGGTCACTCGCCAGGCTAATGTTTGGTGTTGGTTTTGATTGTTTGTTTTGGTTTCCCCCTGTCCTCCTCTTCCTTCTCATCCTCCTTCAATCCTCCTGATCATCCTACTCCCCCTCCTCCTGTTCCGACAATCACTCCTGATCCAACTCATATCTGTCCTCTGGGAAACGGAGGAGGAGGAGAGAGAAGACAGAGGGAGGATGCTGAGAAGAGGGGAGAGGGAGTAAGAGGAATTACCAGAGGAGGATGACGACCAGGAGGAGGAAGAGGAGGAGGAGGAGGAGGAGGAGGAGGAGTAGAAATTTGAGGGTCACTCCTCTTTCTCCTCCCTCCCCCCACCCCCTTCCTCACCATCCTCCTAAAGTAGACATCAGAGGAGGAGCAGGAGTGGTAGAAGGACTCTGATGAGGATGGTGATTATGACGAGGAGGAAGATGATGAACCTTTACTCATCAACTTGATCATCTGTTTTCATTTCCCCTTCTCCCCCTCATGCTCCCCATCTTTGTCCCCCTCCTCCCCCTCCTATCCATTTTACGCTGTCTTTCCTCATCGCATTCCGGCTGCACCTCATGCCAAGCGCGCGTCAGGAACGTTGGAGGAGGATGCGGAAGGGCGAAAGGAGGACGAGGAGGAGTAGGAGGGCAGTGCCAATGATTGGCTGCCCTTTCCCATCCTCCTGGCCCTCTCGAACCTCCTCTTCCTCGTCGCCCTCCTGACTCTATCACTCGTCATCCTCCTCCTCAGCATCAGTCTCCCATCTCCCTACGGAATGATGATGGTGGGTGATAGCAGGGATAGTGATATGAGGCAGAGGAGAGTGGGCCAATGAAGATGAGCAGGTGAATGATATGATGTGTGGGAAGATGAGGAGGAGGGGGAGGACGATAAAGAGATTGGGCAGACGAGGATGATGCCGAGATCGCGGCAGACGGTTGGCATGATGCGGAGAAGGAAGATGACGAGGACAATGGTGATGTGGGATACCATACGTATGGCGATGATCAACTCTTACGCCTCCTAATCATCGTCACCATCACGATCCCAACATCCCCTCCTCGTCCTCCTCCTCCTCGTCACACAGCTCAAGCTTCCCCCCCCTCAGATCTCACATTTGGAAGGGGGAAGGGGGAGTGATATAATGAGGCGGAAGAGGAGGGAACGGAGGAGTAAGATGAGGAAAACGAGGAGTTTGATGATGACGAGAACGTTCAGTAGTCGTGCCCTCTCCTTCTGCTGCTCCTGTCAGTCCTCGTTCTTATTATCACCCTCCTGTTGTACCACTCCTGCTCATCATTGTTATCCCCGTCCCATCTCTCCTACATGAGGAGGATGAGGAGGAAGGAGGGGGGAGGGGGATAAGAAAAGAGGAGGAGAACGAGGAGGAGGAGGAGGAGGAGAAGGAGGAGAAGGAGGAGGGGGAGTGACCCATCAAGCACCTCCCCATCGTCCTCATGTCTCGCCTCCCCTGGCAACTCTTCTTCCCCTTTCTCACTCCTATCGTCCTCCTCCCTCCATCTCCTCCCTCCTCCTCCACCTTGTATGTGAGAGAAATGATAATGC